GCCTTTAGATAATTATGGCCATCAAGTCAGAAGCTTTTCTCACACAGCAACTATCTATGATTCCCGCATCCTGAGTGGAGGGATTAGCAGCACAAACATTTTACTGATCAGGATGTTACCTCTCACACACCATCAAGAGGATTGTGAATGGCAGAAGCTCTTCATCAGTAGTAGTAATGTGCATATTAGAACGTAGGACGCATGTGGTTTGCATTTTATATACGCAGGTTTAGTGTAAGGCCATTTTTAAACGTTTACGTTGGTGCGCCAGTTCTGCATGTGCGTTGCAGTGCCCTGCCGTTATTTGTGAATGGCACACTAATGCACAAACAAACCTGCGTGTACACGTGTCATTTTGGTGAGATCACACATGTGTATGTAACCGTACCTTGCCAGTCGAACATTATCCGAGTCGTACTTGCCCCACTCCCAGTCCTTGCCAGGATCCACAGCAAAGTGCACTGGTAGTAACTTGTGCTCAGAGTCCGTCAAGGGGATGAAAGGCGCTGTGCGTACAAAGACATACAGAGAATGAAAAGCTCCATTCACACACATGACGCCATTATTAATCACATGTATAAGTCACGTCTATAAATCATATACAACAATAGCCAATTGGCTTTCCATAAGGGCTGTGCGGGCTCCATCGAGCACAACCTTCCTGACCAGTATGTGCGTCCCGGGATGGACATTAAAGGGAAACGCACATGGTTTCCATTGTAGGCAATGCCATGCAGGTGAGGTCCAGCCTTGGAAACAACTAGTAGAGAGCAGCAGAGAAAGCACGCGTGTAAACATGACATACAGGCCAACTAATAAGCCAACATGCTAAGACAATACACTCCGGTTACACAATCATAGCAGGAAACATCCTCCCGTCCTCCCCTCCTCCGCTAGTAGCAGCAGTGACTGCCCGGGGTACTTCTTTACCTTGTTCCTTGCTTTGCTCGTTCTGTTCCATGGACACCAGGGCAGAGAAGTGCGCTTGGTCATAGGCCAGGACAAGTGGGGAGCTGTGGCACTTGGCGGGTGGGACCTCCAGGGGAAGGTAGATGCCCCCAAAGGGTATAGGAGCAAAGGCTGCAAATACAGAGAGATCATCAGGAAACATTACATCCGCCCGTGTGACAGTAAGCTCCGCCCATGTGACAGTAAGCTCCGCCCATGTGACAGTAAGCTCCGCCCATGTGACAGTAAGCTCCGCCCATGTGACAGTAAGCTGGGGAGGGGGGAGGGGCAGGGCAGGGGCTGGCGCAGGGCAGGGGCTGGCGCAGGGCAGGGGCTGGGGGAGGGCAGGGGGGAGGATGATGGGGATGGATGTTGGACGGTCACAGCTGCAAATTGTGTCCAGTGATCACACAACACTGAATTTGGATGAACTGGTTCCCGGCATTCTATCCTATCAGCTTGTGCCTGCTTTCCATCCTTCTGATCTCCTCTAGTGTTTACGTCGGGCTGTACAATGTGTTTTAGCATCACTTACAGTCTCCACCATGGGTGCAGAGACCATCAATATGGAGTTACCCCCTTCGTGACTAACTTCCTCCACTCTTCCGGGAAGACTTTCCACAAGATTCTAGAAGGTGTCGGTAGGAATTTGTCCCATGTGTGAGGTTCAGGTACTGATGGTGGAGGAGAGGACGCGCGCTCACAATCGGTGTTCCAATTCATCTCAGAGGTGATCAGTAGGGATGAGAAGACCCGGGCTCACAGTCAGTGATCAGATGAGGTCAGGGCTCCGTGCTGGTCACACCGTGTCTGTATGGAGCTTTGTACACAGGGGACAGTCATGGGGGGAACAGAAAAGGGTCTTCAAACTGTGACCACAAGGCTGGAAGAGGACAATTGTCGCCAATGTCTTTGTATGATGGAGGATGAACAGAACCTTCACAGGAGCCATCTAAACTCATTTGGAAGGAGGGGGGGTTCACATATTTTTGGCCATATAGTAAGTGTGATGGTCAGGTGTCCACAAACCTTTGGCTATACAGTATATAAGCACCAATTACCTTCTCCACCGGAATCCCTCAGCATGGTGTCTGCCACCACCACAATGGGTCTCTTGAGGACATGTGCAAGTACAAAGACGTGGAACTCCTCCAAGCTCTCGTACACCGGCTCCTCCGAGGTTTCAGTCCTGCCACATACAGACAGAGAGTTTATTACTAC